TTCTCTACTGTCTGTTGTTGTTTTGGTGTTATAATAATACTAGGAAGGTTGATTTTATCATTCTGAGGTATTCTTTGGCCATTCTGTGTCTGGGTAAGTTGACTGTATGTGTATTGCTGTCCTATATTATCTATGCGAGTTTTTTCTAATTCTTCTATTTTATTCATCAACAGGGTAATTATTTCGTCCTTGGCTTGAATTATATGCTGTTTATCTTCGATTGTTTTTTGTAACAGGGTATGGTGTTCAAATTTCTCACATTTTTCACAAATAAATTTTAGGACTCGACTCTCCTTAAGTTCCAAAACTTTTACCTCGGATGAAGTAAGGTTAGCACAAGGCTTGCAGTATTTTCCCTTGCACGTATCACAGCAAAAAATTGGGTTTCTGCTCCCGCCCGGAACTCTGCAAATATCACACTCCATTTTTCACGGCATGAAAATAATGCTTTGTACTAAGTTTTGTACAATTTTTTGTTCACGCGGCCTGGCTAGCAGGAATGTGTTTTTTTTTTCCTACCGACCCGTTTATGTTCTATTTTTATTTCATTTTTGCAATTTTACAACTGAATTATGAAATTTTTCACATTTATTCCTACGGCATAATACACTACATACTAAACCGAACCGATTGCTACTAAATTTGTTCAATTTGGTCACTTGTAACTCAACGAATTTCAAGAAAAACGCGAGAGCGAAATGAGACGATGTTTATCAGACTTCGACGCTTTCACATATAGATAATAGATAATAGCGAAAATCATGCGAAAATATCTCTATTCCTCACAGAATTCCACTGCAGATGTTGATGTTCAATATTTAGCTATTTCCTAGAAACAAAGATTTTTAGTACACAGAATCTTTCCTTTTACCTTATAACTTGTATTTAATTACTATCGAAAACTATTGATATTTATCGATAGTCAAGGTCCCGACTATCGATTACTATCGATGGCCGTGACTATCGATAGTTCTCCACCTCTATAGTACATGTATGCCAAATTCGAGGCCAAATTTCAATAAAATATCCAAAGTGGGGTTACAGATATCAATAATAATTGATTTATTTTTGAAATCTATATCACCCTGTATCTTAAAAGTTAAGACGTTTGGGACATACATTCATATAAAATTTAAAAGAGACCCAAAAATCACTCCTTTAAATATTTACATTCAATGAGAGAACACCCTGTATAGGGTGTCCTATTAAAAAAATCGGACTTTGGTCAGCATCTCAAAATCGAGGACAAATACCAAAAAACTGAGAGCCTCGTTGGATTCTGCTTGAAAAAGTAGGTACCCTGAGAAATTTTATACAGAAATCAATTAGGTATTTTCATTGAACAAAAAAGTTATGAAGCTTTCACAGAATGGATCAAAATCGAGAAACGCCCCCTGGTGGTAAAAGGGTTGAAGATATCAAAATGCGGTCTGCACGAATGAAGATTTCATGAACTTTGAGCCCTGGTTTGAGCCCCTAAAGTTAATTTTTTTGTATCTCACTGAGAAATTGACGTTTCCTATTGAAGAGGTCCAAATTGGCCCACACTCTACAGCTAGCTGAAGGCTTTCAATAAAGACATTCATTCATTTCACAAGAAGCTACAAAGAAATGTTCACTTGACTGTTGTATTTTTTCTTATGGAGTTCAGAGACATGCCGACGTATGGTAATTGTAATTTTTCCGCGAAAACAAAGCGAGATAATTGAACAATTTAAGAGACTAAAATGTTGTATTTTTAGTGTAGGTATCTATCTGAATAATCAATAAAAATCGTACAAAAACTACAGAGTGATATTTTTTTCTGCACAAAAACAACCGACTTGGTCGCTGGGTACGCCCCTGGGAATTCTGGATCAAATCTAATTAGTCCAGTAGATGTCTAAGAATGGTTGAAATAAACCGTGAACATTTCATTGAAATCGGCTAAAGCTCTTTTGGGCTATTAATAAAAAACTATTTTTTTTTTGAAATACGTATCACCCTGTATCTTGGAAACAAAGCGTTTCCGGACCTATATCCATAGGAACTTTTTAAATTATTTTCATGAATACTATCTGCCCTTGAAGTTTATAACACCATTTCTGAAACACCCTGTATTATGTAAATTAGTATGTATACAGTGACCGCCAAAAAGTTTGCAACAAATGGGAAAATATTTTATTATAAAGATATCAAAAAAAATGTTTCGTGGGATCAATTCAGCATACCCATCAACAAAAAGAATCACTGTGACAGATGTCATGTGACCACAGTCATGGCGGCAAATTTAAAAAGTTCGCCTTAAATATGTGAAAAGTGGGGTTAGACGACCAGAAATCGAAAAATTGTAGAGAGAAAAGTTGTTCAGGATCCGATTTTACGTCCATGTGTCAATTTTTAAAAAGGTACAAGGATTTTTAATAAATATCAATTTTTTGGCCTGTTTTCTGGTAATTTGAAAAATATCAAAAACTTTCCGTCTGGTTCACATAATTCAAAGTGAAACTAACAAAAAAAAAATCCAGTGCAGTAATTCTGCTTAATTGTCCCGCGAAAAATTGTAAAAAACCAAAAATTCATTTTCAGACCACTCTGATCTTGTTGCAATGACCTACAGAAAACAAAAATTTGGAATAACAAATTTAGAATTACCATGAAATCTTTCTAAATGATCCAATACTTACCTCTTTTCTAAATTTAATCAAGCCAATATTTTCGATATTTTTCAAATTACCAGAAAACAGGCCAAAAAATTAATATTTATTAAAAATCCTTGTACCTTTTTAAAAATTGACACATGGACGTAAAATTTGGATCCTGAACAACTTTTCTCTCTACAATTTTTCGATTTCTGGTCGTCTAACCCCACTTTTCACATATTTAAGGCGAACTTTTTAAATTTTCCGCCATGACTGTGGTCACATGACATCTGTCACAGTGATTTTTTTGTTGATGGGTATGCTGAATTGATCCCACGTAACATTTTTTTTGATATCTTAATAATAAAATATTTTCCCATTTGTTGCAAACTTTTTGGCGGTCAGTGTATATGAAAAAAACATCTTTAGTAGGTACTTGCTTCAGATTTCTGTGGGACATACAGGATGTTTCAAATTCGAGCCACAGGGTTGGTTAAATTGGGGCAAAATGCCACTTCGATATTAAGGATATTCTGAATACTTCCGGAGATATTAGGAAAAAACCAAAATTTTGCAAAATTGTTTTTATTTTTTCTTGACTTTATTTAAAGTGATATGCTAGCATCGAATTTAAAATCTGACGTTTCGTCTTTGGGCGACAATCATCAACTTCATTTTTTTGAATACAGACGCTTATTTTTCATTTTCAACTTTATAAGCTTCTGATGTTCCAAAAGCAACCAATGATGCATTGCACTTATTCGAAAAATTTAAGCTGTGTTATCGGCACTTTCCATAAGTACTAAATATTTTAGAGAGAAACAGAAGAGAATTTTGGGAGGAAATTACTGAAAAGTAAAAAAAAATTTTAGGTTTTGGAACAACAGAAGTTCTCAAAATCTGAAATAAAAAATCCAGGGTCGTATTTAAAAAAATAAACTTGGTGATGGTGGCCCAAAGACGAAACGTGAGATTTCAAATTTGATGGTAGCATCTTGTAGGGGAGAAAAAATGGCTTTGATGAGTATCACTTCAAATAAAGTCAGGAAAAAATAAAAACAATTTTGCAAAATTTCGTTTTTTCCGGATATCTCCAGAAATTATGTATTACATTATAAAAAAACTGGAACTTTTGAGTTCTGTCAGTGTCAAATTTCAAAATATATTAATAAAATATTAATGAAATTTCAAAAAGTATGTATTAAATTATGAAGTTCTTTAAACTAGGGGTTTGAGTTATGTGTTAAATTATGCATTAAATTATGGAATAATTATGCACTTGAATTAATCAAAAGTAGCTTAAACCTTAAGATGTGATGAAAAATATGCATTATTATGCATTCATATAAGATGTAAGTAGGTATGTTGATTTTTGTGATATTGTTGGAAATATTTGTTGGTTTATTTTGTTTATTGTAATTATGTGGTTTGGAACAAATAAGTAGGTATCTAAAGTTATATTATCCAGTCAAGTATCTAATAATAGTAATTTAACAGCATTTGACCAATTGGCCTATCCAAAATTACTCTTGAAGGCTCAGCTACATCTAAAGTTTTTGGGTACCTACATCCAATGTTCCAATGTTGCAATGTACATTTTGATAATCATACATTTGATGTAGGTACTGAGGTAGGTACCTACTTCCTAGCAATGTTCCACCCTTGGATAAGAGAAAAACATTTTAAAATCTTATTTCTGGTAATCTTTATGGAATTTGTTGATGCACAAGTTCTTTTTAGTACTTGCATAGTTTAAGTTATTGTATCTAGAACCAAAACAAGAATTACAGAAATAAAATCTTCATTTCTACATAGTAAATTAATACCTTGACGATGACTGAATTGATTCTTTTGCTTGACTCGGGGGTTAAGTGATTCATTGAAATTCAGAAAACCTTTTAATTGTTTGATGCAACTATGGGTCTAACCAAAAAATATCTTGAATTTAGTATTAAGAATAGAAGGGGGCACAAAAAATGAAAATTTGAATAGCTTTAATAAGTATTTTAACTAGTAATTTAAAAAACAAAAAGTTTGTAAATTGGAATGTAATGAATCACACTGGTAATTCAAAGCAGGAAGGGAGTGATTCTTGATAAAAGCTGCTACAAATTAAACTCATCTAAAATAAAAGCGGTTGCACTACTGGTAAGCAGTACCTACATTTTGGCAGCAAACTGGAGCACTGGCCAGCAGCTCCAACGTTTGAAAAACACTATTTACAAAGACGTTGAAAAAGTTTAATACACTTCAATTTACACTGTCATGGCTCAACAAATACTATTCTTGTAACTTTATTTTCGGCACTCACTGGACCTTTATTATTCTTGGAGGATTTTAAGGGCTGGGGGATGGTTTACAATGCAATTTAAAACTTACCGTTTATGATTGACCGTCAGTTTAGCATCGGGCGAAGCCCAATTTACTAAAAATTTAGTCTATCTAGTAAATATAGGACCGCTTCTCTATTCACTTCACAACTACGTTTACTGGACTCCTCTTGGCCTGGCGCACTACTGTGACTGTGTGACTGCCCTTTTTGGCGTTTGACTCGTCTGACAGAGGCGCTTGCGAGGTTGCCAAGCTCCGCGTCATAAGTTTCAACAATTTGAAAAAAAGAGTAGTCAGTAATAGCGTTTTCAAATCGAACTGTTCGATTGGAACAGTGAGTGCTAGTTTTTTTTTCTTTCTTTGAGATTTGTGTATATTATTAATAATAATTTAACGTTTATTAGTTCGAAATTTGAATGAAATACAACAACAAACATGATAGATATGATTAAAAAAATGTACTCGCACAAAGTTCCTACTATAGTTAGGTTGTCTGATAATGGTATACAGATGACGTCATCGGGAGGATATCATGTAAATTTGCATTGTTTAGGCATCCAGATGACGTTATAAAAGTTATCAGGCAAGGTAACCTACCTCTTTCAAACAACCTTGGTACTTGCACAAAATTTTTATTCAAGAATCTTTTTCATATTTCCTTGAGATATAGTATCTGCGAAATATGAGCTCTACAAATGATTATTTTCTCAGAAATTCAAAATTGAAAATCATCAACATTTTAAATTTTCAGAAACGTCTTTGATTGCTTTCCGTCACATCTCAGTACCGGCGTTGTCTGATTGTCGTTTTATTCCTAGGTAAAGTTGTACTGCGCCTGTTCGGGATTAAAAAAAGGACGGTCCAAAACAATCGCACAGTTTATCAATCAACAATATGAAAACGGCTTGGCTATCACAAATTTCAATAATGAACTGTGAGATTGTTTTGAACCGTTCTAGAACCGTCCTCTTTTCAAACCCGAACAAAGCTAGGTATTTTGAAAAAAAAAAAATATATATATAAAAATATTATCAGATTTTCGAAAATAAATTTTCGAAAAATCGAAAAATACTTAGCAGTGTATCGAACCCAAGTTATTAGAGGATTTTTTGGATATATATAATATTGTCAACTGGTCTATAAATAAAGACCATCCTGCATATCAAAAACCCATTAATTAAAACTAGAACTCGGATTATCAACAATTAGCAGTTTAGGCAGGTCAACGCAAAAAACTAATTGATTACACCAAATGGTTATAAAAACCGATGCAACCCATGATAGTATCGGCAACCATTCGGTCTTTCTCTTCTCAGGTTCTCCTTACCCCAGGAAGTATAGCAATCCCTTTTGGTTCGCATCTCTCTCCTCAGGGTCTCCTTACCCAAGGGAGCAGTAGCTACACGCTACACGTCTCTTCAGGGTCACCTTACCCCAGAGAGTCTTGGAGCAATAATCCCTTTTAGGGCTTCGCCGCTATATACGTGCGGGAACTAGTTGCACCCCCGTATACATAGTCCCCAACGCAAGAGTCATGTGGCATACCTACGTAGTGTCCCTTTGGTAATGTACCCACTAGAAAGCAATATACGATAAGTGCCTTCTGATGTAGTTGTGTGTTTTCCTGAAGAGCAACCCCAACCTCAGGTCCTACCCATATTAGCCGCGAGGCGTGTGGCATATGGTCGAGGCGCGTTCGAAGAACCGGTGAGCCTGCGATGCTGAATCTTCCTATTTAGCATCGAAGTACCTAAACGAGAGCACAGTGCCCAAACAAAATTATGGACTGTCGCTATTGTATAAGGAATGATGTTTGAAGGTACAGATAGATGTTCATAAAATATTGATAGATGTTCATAAAAGTGACATTCACCGATGTGTCAAGAAAACGGACATAGCTATAACTGTATCCCAGCCGATGATACGTCGTTACCTGAGGCATTTTTTTTTTGAGGAAACAGTTTCAAAGACCGTTTTAAAACAGTTTCAGCTCTGACGTCACTATTTTTATGAACAAAAAAAATGCAAAGTTTCAAAACTAAAATGCTTAATCTAACCTTAACGAAATTCGACTTGTTTCTTTGACAATCTTTGATGATTTGTTGTTAGTTAATTTTGAAAAAATTAGTTTTGGACGATTATTTTCATATCCTTTTCATTTGATATAAAAAACAATAATAAGATTAGTGAGCGTGTGTTTATTTTGTGAAAATGGAGATGGAGCAAGAAAATCAGGAGAATGAGATAATATACCGTGCTCTTATAAGACTCATCCAAGAACAATTAAGAGGCTTTTTCCAAATACCTGAGGCTTCGTAGCGAGAATAGGAGGGCACGTGACATAAGCGAGAAATATTGTTCGTCCTCCAATCCGCAACCATAAACTAGGAACGGTTGAATTTTCTAAAAAACGCAGTGAGTTGAAGACCGTTATGCAAAAATTAGGGGCCACGCCGTAGAGTTGTTAAAGAAGAGAGCAAGAGTATACATATAGAAAAGTTAGCCAAATGGTCAGTGCAAACGGCCATAATAAAAATGATAGATGAAACAGGAGTAGGTAAACAAAAAGATATAATCGAAAAGTGTGCAAGTACCCTGAGTTAACCAATGTAGATCGCAGGTGCTGTTAAGTTAAAAAAAAGCTCTCTCCGACACACACCGTCCACACTGTGCTGACAGCTTTTCGGAAAATACATGGACAAAATAGAGACTTGATCTTCACCAACTAGAAAAGGAACTTGCAAAAGTCTCCGCCGAATTTGGAAACAAAACATAAATGAGACAAAAATGTAGCAGAAATGTATTGGACTTGTCGCCACTTTGTCGGAAAACATGGATGTCTCTGTCTTTCTCCGTCTTAAGCCTAGTACTCATAACTGCGAAATTCGCATTTTTTTGACATTGCGTTGGCAATTTGACGTTTTATCCGTGTATTAAACGTCAAATTGTCGAAGCAATGTCAAAAAAATGCGAATTTCGCAGTTATGAGTACTAAACTTTATGGTTGTTTTTTCTGCTTGGACTGGACCCGGCATAAAAATACAATTTTATCCTATAAACACAGGGCCGTATCTAGGGGGGGGGTTTGGGGGTTCAAATTTTTGAAATAAAAGCAATTATTTTGAAATACATTTGACCGATTTTGAAATACTGTTGGAAATAGTGTAGTGTAACAATTTTTTTTTGCCACTTTGTCTAACCCCCCCCCCCCAAAATTTTGGTCTAGATACGGCCCTGTATAAACAGGATTGAGATTTCCCAACTATCACCCCATAGACCGAAGGACTGTTCTAACACTTTTAAAATCGTCCCAAGAATAATTTCAAAACCACTCTGTATACGAATTTCGGATTCTACCCACTATTTTAGACTGCGCAGAATAATCGTGCCGGTCCATTGTACGGTTTCTTGTTGTGTTGGAACAAATCTAAAGAGTTGATGACGCGCTCAGTGCTAGAAGCTGTGATGCTAGTGAACAATTGCTTATTGAACAGTTAAAGAACCCAAATTATTGAAAACTACTATGTGAGAATGAATTTGACCGCTTCAATTGCATAAGGTACCTCTACCCTGAGACTACCATCTGCTATTATTCGCAAATAATCACTGTTCATCTGGAGCCAGTGCAAGTTGACAGAGCATTATAGATTACAGATTTTTTCAGAAAGCTAATGAACTACTGCATTTTGGACTTCATTTTTCGTATTGTACTCTTAGCGAATTTTTACCACTGTGCAGTTTCCTGACAAAAGTTATCTGACAAAATGCAGAAGACCGAACGATCAGTGGCGTCGGTAATGGATTTTTTATCACACACTTTTATTATTATTCATTCAAAATATACAAAATTATATAATCAGATGACAATTGTTCAAAAACTGTACATGGGTTTATAGGAAGGTTGAGGGGTTTGTAACAAATAGGGTGACACCAGTGGCGTGCCTCGATAGACCTACGAATGCATATTTATACGAAAATATTCAAAATTATATAATCAGATGACAATTATTCAAAAACTGTACATGGGACTAAATTCATACTAATGGGGAAGGTTGAGGGGGTTGTAAGAAACAGGGCAACACCAGTGGCATACACTCGATCGACCTACGAATGGAGATATACGAAAATATACTAAATCAATTAGTCAGATGACAATTATTCAAAAATTGACATGGGATAAATTCATGGGAATGGGGTTGGGGGGGGGGGGAGATAAGGGGTTTGTAAGAAACAGGTAGCATGAGACAGAATTATTTGCAGAAGCTGCAGAATGGTTAGAAGAAAGTCTTCTCAAAAAACTTGAAGAAGTCTCGCGTCCAGCTCCGTCAAGTAAGCCCCGCCCCCGCCTATTAAATTTTCCTTTTTTTTTGTGCTAATCAACTGTGCTCCCAGTGTGCTCTAGTGTGCTACCAATATTAGGAACTGTGCTGAGTTGTACCAATGCTATTCACAAAAGTTTGAAGGGTGGCCATCTTGAGCTCAGCACCCCCCGTTTTTTAATTATTTTATCGAACAAAAGCAAAAATCAATGCAACTTTCAGTGTGCTGAACTGTGCTGCTAATATTTTTAGCTCAGTTTTTCGTTTAACCTTAGTTTTCCGTTTGACCCAAGCGGTTTTCTTAAAAAATGCTATGGCTAATTAGTTCCAATCAATTGCCATAAAAGTTGTTCGAAAACAGTTTCAAAACTGTTAAGCCAATCTACCTAATTGCCGCTCGTAGATTTTTGATTGCGCTATCAGCAGGCCTTGTGAGGTTTGAAATGTTGCTATAATGAAGGAAAACTAAAAATAAACTGTTTTGATAATATGTTAATAATATAATATATGGAAAAATAAATAAGTAATATATTTTTTTTAAAATCGATTTTTTTTTAATTATTTTTGTTTTATTTGATCAATATTTTTTTTTGCATTGCGTTGTATGTTGTATTGCTGGATAACAAAAGTAAATAGTCGCTATTTCAATAAAACTAATTTATCTTGTGATTGTATAGGTATATATAAATCATCTTACAAATTATTTTTCCTGAATAGAGAGTACAAATTTGGAAATAAACCAGTTTTATTATTTTACTCCAGAAAAGAAAAAAGTGCAACGTCAATATGAAAATTAGTATAAACTGTTAAAAGCATGAAATCCTACTTTATCTAAACAATCACCTAACAAATTAAAATTTCTTACATCTAATAAAACCATCCTACATAAAT